GGCGGGGCTGAGCACGCGCGGACGGGCCCGATGAAATGGGCAGGGGCGGGGGCGGGGCGGAACATGCGCAAACTAGCATGGGCGGGGAAAGCGGGGCTGGTGTCGCGCGTGTGGGCGCCGGGTCCCTGCGGGTGGTGTGCCGAGCTTCACAGCCCCAGGCCTGCCTCCATGGCCATATGCCAACTTTTCACCTCTGTGAGGAGGATGTCACCTCTATGTTGGGGGCTGTCACCACTGTGGGGAGGGTGTCACCTCTATGTGGGGGGCTGTCACCTCTGTGGGGAGGCCATCACCTCTACTGGGAAAGTGTCACTTCTGTGGGGAGGCCATCACCTCTATGGGGAGGGTGTCACCTCTACGGGGAGGGTGTGAACTCTGTGGGGGGCTGTCACCTCTGTGGGGAGGCCATCACCTCTACTAGGAGAGTGTCACCTCTGTGGAGAGGCTGTCCGCTCTGTGGGGGGGCCATCACCTCTATTGGGAGAGTGTCACCTCTATGGGAGGGCTGTCAGTGGGGAGGGTGTTGCCTCTGTGGGGAGGACCTCACCTCTATGGGGAGGGTATGACCTTTATGGGGAGGACCTCACCTCTATGGGGAGGCTGTCACCTCTGTGGGGAGGGTGTGACCTCTGTGGGGTGGTCATCACCTTGGTGGGTGGCTGTCACCCACCTCGCCCCAGTGAGGTGCGCTGCTCCCAGCACAGCAGCATGTGTTAGTGTGCGTGTTTGAGTCCCACTTCTGAGCCTGCCGCCAGGGCTTCGGTGAGCTCGGCAGCGTCACCTCTCTGTGCTGCAGCCATAGCCACCATGCCCAGGACAACTTCCCAGCCACCACCTTCTATCCCTGTGACCTGGGAGGTCACTTAACCAGCCTCTCTGCCTCCCAGTTCACACTTCTGAAAAGAGGGTGAATGATTTGCATTTGTGGGGATCCCATTGATGAGCCCTGCACAGCACCAGCACTACCTGCCGGAGGACTCACGGGGACAGACTCGTCAGGAGGGGCATCTGTGTGTGGACACATGGATGTTCTTTGCTGTCACATACTCACTCACAGGGTGCCCACACGTCCAGAGTTATTCCCACATCCAGGTGAGCAAGGCAGGCCGGGCAGGTTTCCCCAGGGAGGGCTGGCCTTGCCTTACCTGTCTCAGATGGTGGCATTGGTGATTCAGGGTCACTCTGAGTCTGCAGGCGACCAGGGAGGGGTCTATGTGCCCTCGGGTGGAGGAACTACCTCCTGCCCCCTTCCCAGCCATTCATAGTCCCCATGTCCTTCAGATAGGCACTGCATGTTTTGTGGGTCACTCGTCACGTGCGTTGGGTGCCACACCTTGTCACAGGTGCTCCAACATAGGCCAGTTGGACACTGTTCAACCCTAGTCATAGGTCTTGAGCAGGGTCTCCAGCTCACTCTGCATCAGATCAGCAGGAGGGCTCACTCAACAAAGCCTGGGGCTCTCATTCTGGCTCAGCAGGTCTGGGTAGGGCCTGAGATTCCATGTTTCTAGCAAATTCCCAAGTGGTGCTAATGCTGCTGGTTCGAGGGCCCCAGTTTGGAACCACCAGTCTAGGGGAAAGAATGTGCAGTGGTGGTTCAGTGGTAGAATTTTCACCTTCCATGCAGGAGAACTGGGTTTGATCCCTGGCCAATGCACCTCATGTGCAGCCACCTCCTGTCTGTTAGTGGAGGCTTGCATGTTGCTATGATGCTAAACAGGTTTCAGCAGAGCTTCCAGATTAAGATGGACTAGGAAGAAAGGCCTGGCGATTGACTTCTGAAAATCAGCCAATGAAAACCCTATAAATCACAACAGAACATCATCCGATATAGTGCTGGAAGATAAGCCCCCTAGGTTGGAAGGCACTCAGAATACATGGTGGCTGCAACAATGGACTGGAGCAGACCAATGATTGTGAAGATGGTGTAGGACCAGGCGGCATTATGTTCCATTATGCATGGGGTCGTCACGAGTCAGGGCTGACTAGAAAGCAGCTAACGACATGCTACAGAGAACTAACGGCCACAGAAGTGGGTCCCAAAGTGAAAAAGCATCAGCTTCTTTCTTGTACATCATATGCATCTGTCCCAGCGCCCGTGTTTCCTAAAAAAGCTGATGAGCAAACAGAATGCACAAAACCTTTGACGTCAGAGACAGACACCAGCACATTTCACCTGAGGAAAGGTCTGTGTCTATGACTAGTAATGAATAACTCGAACAAATCATAGACTGTTTTCCTTTTTCAAAGTAAGTTTTACCAACTTTTATAAATAGTTTGGGGGGTTGAGAAAGGAGCACTGCATTTCACGCCAGAACCCCTGTGGGCTCACAGAGGTCACCAGGGAACATGTCACCAACCCCATTGGGATCCACACGCAGGAACGGAATGTGTTTCAAAGAAAACCAGACAAGTGACTGTGCAGACATTGGAGCTTTTAAATTAGATTAAAATAGAAACAAGGTGTCACCAGGTACCTTTACTGATCGCTGCACGACTACAGTTCATCTTGCCTGTGAAATTGATTGAAGAAATTTTGCCTCGCATTAAACTTCCCGGCCAGCAGCTCCTCCTCCTCCTCCTCCTCTAGGGCCTTTCTGATCTCCTCTTTGGCCTGGATGGCATCCATCTCCCGTTCTGGGCCCTGGAGGGAGACACGAGAGCCCCGCAGCCCAGGGGTCACCAGCCTGCAGCTGGCCCACCCTCCCCCTGCTGAATTACAGTCCCCAAGGATTCTGGGTAATAATCCCCAGAATCTGTGGGTGTGGCTTATACGGAGAAAGAAAGAGTCTTTGCAGGTGGAATGAAGTGAAGAATGTTGGCATGGGAAGCTGATTCTGGATTATGTGGGTGGGCCTTCAGTGTAATTTGAAAAAAAAAAAAAAAGCCATCTGCTGTTAAGTCGACTCCAGTTCATGGAAATCCCATGTGTGTAAGAGTAGAACTGTGCTTCACAGGTTTTTCAATAGCTGATTTTTCAGAAGTAGACTGCCAGGCCTTTCTTCTGAGGCACCTCTTGTATTCAGTTGTAAACATTCACCAAGCCCTTTCCTAAATGTTGCCGTTGTTGTTAGTTGCTGTCAAGTTGATTCCAATTCATGGTGACCCATGTATCAGAATAGAACTATGCTCCATAGGGTTTTCAAGGCTGTGATCTTTTGGAAACAGATCGCCAGGGCTTTCTTCCAAGGCATCTCTGGGTATTCATTGGTAAAAATTCATCAAGCCCTTTCCTAAATGTTGCTCTTGTTAGTTGCTATTGAGTTGACTCTGACTCCGGAGGACCCTCGTGTGTGCAGAGTAGAACTGTTCCCTAGGGTTTTCAAGCCTGTGGCCTTTTGGAAGCAAATCACCAGGCTTGTCTTCTTAGGTGCATCTGGGTGACTTTGAATCTCCAACCTTTTGGTTAGTAGTCAAGTGCTTAACTGTTTGCACCACCCAGGGACCCCTTTTCCTAAATGTTACACTCCAATTAAAAAAAAAAACTGACAAAAATCAATGAATCAGTGATGAAAGAAAAGTGAATTGCGTGCATGTGTTGAACACTGTACCTTGGTTTCACCCCAGGTGGCCTTCCCAAAATTCTCAGCATACTCTTCATCGTCTGTGATCAGGAAGTTATCAAAGATGGTTCCAGATCGCACCTGCAGATGAAATCAGGGGCTTGGTTACTGATGCAAGATACAGAACCACTCTCCACAGAGAAGCAGCTGCTATGTGCTCAGTACGGTGATAGGGATTAGTTCTCAGTCCTATGTGCCTACACACACTTCTAGGCTGCCAGTTCCCTCCAGGGCACTGGTTCTCAAACTTGCCTGCAAACCAGGGTCACCCAGAGCATTTACAGAATCTCTGGATGCCTGTCCCACCCCTGAGATGCTGAGTGGTCAGTCCAGGGCACAGCCTGGGCATTGAGGCCACACTGGAGGACCACTGCTCTGGAACCTTCCTGCATGGGGGATGGGACGTGGACCGGCAGGAGCAGCATTGCTGGGAGCCTGCTGGGAGTGCAGAACCCTAGGCCCCACCCCAGGCTGCCCGTGCCAGACCCTGCCGTCTTATCCTGGAGTTGATGGGCACCCCAGATCAGCTCTGAGCTGAGGGCTGACACTGCCAGCAGTGGCGTGGAAGGTGCATTCGTAGGAGGTAAGATTGAAGGGCAGGAAACCCCAAGAAGACAGGACCCATATCGGTTGTGCCTATCTGTGTCTTAGAGTCTGGGCACCAGGGCCTGGCACATAGCAGGTGCTCACTGAATAGCAATGTTTTGAATTAAAAGAATCTATAAGGTCCCTGAGAGGTGCCCTGGTGGCACAATGTTTAAAGCACTCAGCTGCTAACTGAAAGGTTGGTGGTTCGAACCCACCCAGTGGCAACATGGAAGAAAAGGCCCAGCAATCTACTTCTGTAAAGATTACAGCCAAGAAAACCCTATGAGCAGTTCTACTCTGTAACACATGGAGTCGCCATGAGTCTGAATCAACTCAATGGCAGCTAAAACAACAACCTGCTGAAGTTCACAGTTTTTAATGAAAGCAAATTTAAAACCCAGTGACCTGCCAAAGCTCCAGTCCAATAGCACCGATGTTCTCAAATTCTGAAAGGTCGTACTCTGTCAGATAGTTGGTGTTTCTCATCTTCTGATGGAGCCACACATCTTTATCGATCCCCTCTGGTTTCAGACCATCCTGCAACAAACCACACACACAGGTAGTTGGCATGATATGGGGTGGGGGGGAGGGGCAGCCCAAGGGCATCCCAGATTGCAGAGCACCGGGAGACCGTACCTGGTACGGAGGCTTCTGCAGCATCGGCCCGGACCAGTCACCATCCAGCTCACTGTTCCAGTCACTTGGCTTGCTGGCGCTTGCATCCAGAAAATGTTTCTCCCAGTCCTGAACACAAATCCAAAACTCAGCTGGGTGATCAGGGAGAAAGGGGATTCTTAGATCCCAACAGACGGGGTGAGACAGGATGTGGCCCCCTCACAATTTCCCCCGCTCCTTTCCAATTCGGTGGCCAGATGCTCAGGGTTTCCAATCCCACTGAGAGCTTCAGGTAACACATGGCTGGGTTTTTCTCTGTAACCCCCTGTGTGATTTCAGTGTTTTTTCTTCCATGTTGCTGAGAGGAACAGCAGTGTGGACAGTGCAAAATAATGGCTAACTTAAAATGATGGGGAATATAAGTGATGGTGGGGGAGGGATCTAGTACTGCTCAGGTCATATTAAGTCTGTCTTCTCTGCTGTGGTCACAGACAGGCTGTTCCGGAGAGAAAGGTGAGATAACTAAGAAATGTTCGGAGATTTATGGGGATTGCAGAGTAGCAGGATAAAAGTAGTTCCATTATTGAGTGATAACGTGTGTACATATACATGTGTGTACATATGTATGTATGTAGTTATATGTGCATGTATATGCATATATACATGTATGTAAACATACACATACATATCAACCGGTTGCCATCGAGTCATTTCCGACGCATAGCAACCCCATGCGTGTCAGAGTAGAACTGTGCTCCATAGGGTTTCCAATGGCTGATTTTCGGGAAGTAGATCACCAGCCCTTTCTTCTGAGGCACCTCTAGGTAGACTCCAACTGCCAACTTTTCATTAGCAGGGGAGCACATTAACCATTTGCACCACACAGGGAGTCCTACATGTACATATATGTATGTTTATATATATATATACCAAAACCAAACCCACTGCTGTCCAGTCGATTCCAACTCATAGTGACCCTATAAGACAGAGTAGAACTGCCCCACAGGGTTTCCAAGAAGTGCCTGGTGGATTCGAACTGCAGACCTTTTGGTTAGTAGCCAAGCTCTTAACCACTGCACCAGCAGGGCTCCATTTATATGTGTGTATGTATATATATATATATTCTTCACCAACACCATAATTCAAAGGTATCAAGGATGCTGGCAAAGAATATTGAATATATCACGGACTACCAGAAGAACAAACAAATCAGTCTTGGAATAAGTATAGCCAGAATGCTCCTTAGAAGCGAGGATGGCGAGACTTCATCTCATGTACTTTGGCATGCTAATCAGGAAGGACCAGGCCCTGGAGAATGACATCATGCTGGGTAGAGTGTCAGCAAAAAAGAGGAAGACCCTCAACGTGATGGACTGACACAGTGGCTGCAACAATGGGCTCAAACACAGCAACGATTGTGAGGATGACCGAGGACCAGGCAACATTTCAGTCTGTTGTACACAGGGTCACTATGAGTTGGAACCAACTGAATGGCACCTAACAGCAATAACGTATATATATGGCTTAAAAAACCAAAACCAAACCCGTTGCCACTGAGTTGATTTCAACTCATAGTGACCCTACAGGACAGAGGAGAACTGCCTCACAGGGTTTCCAAGGAGCAGCTGGTGGATTTGAACTGCCAACATTTTGGTTAGCAGCTGAGCTCTTAACCACTGTGCCACCAGGGCTCCATATATGGCTTAGTAGTTGTTTAATAAATATGTGTTGAATAAATGAGTGGATGAAAAAGGTTGCTGAGAATTAACTAATTCAGATAAACACTTCAGCAAGAGCATTGATGTCCTGTATGCTGAGGTTTTCTCTCTGAGAGTGACTGAGCAATGGCACAGGTTCTGCCCTTGGGCTGTGGTTTTTTTCCACAGTGCCCCCTAACTTCTCACCAGCTAAGGCATGGATTTCTTGCCTCCCCCTCCTGCTCCTTTCTCCCTACCCCAACTTGCAGCAGGTGAGACCCTCCTGAGTTGGGGTCCAGGAAACCGTGACCATCCAAGTAGCCGGCTCCTTATAATTGTGGGTTCTCACAGTGTAATTCCAGAATTCATTTCTGTTTAAGAACTCACCCGGAACTAGATATAGAGACAAGAATTACTCAGTTTAGAGGTAAACTTCCAAAAGGATTGATCAATGACTCTTGGGAACTGGGTCTCACGACCCACCCCACACTGCTCACTGGGCCTGGGGAGGCTTCGGTGGAGCCCTGAGGCAGCAGGATTTCCGGACAGGACCTGTCACCTGCTAACCACCCTACAGCTCCAGGGTAAGTTTCTCTGCCTTCTGGGCCTTGGTTCCCCATTTGGGGTGCATTATATGGCCTCGGGGGGCTGATAGAGGGACATGTGTCAGTGCTGGGCCTGGCACACACTAGACACCAAGTATTATGGCAGCTTGTGGTGAGTAGAACTGTGTCCCCCAAAAGATATGTCCCCATCTTGAAACCTGTGAAAGCGACAGTATTTGGAAAAAGAGTCTTTGCAGGTGTGATTAAGTGACAGATCTTGTTATGGATTGAATGGTGTCCCCCCAAAATATGTGTTGTAAATCCTAACTCCTGTACCTGTGGATGTGATCCCATTTGGGAATAGGATTTTCTTTGTTAATGAAGCCAACTCAGTGTAGGGTGTATCTTAAGCCAATCACTTTTGAGATTTAAAAAGATATAGGCACAGAGATAAGCAAGCACAAACAGGGGAAGACAGATGCCACATACCGATCACCAAGGAACTGAGGAACACTGGGCTAGAGAAGCTGAGACGAGAACCTTCCCCTAGAGCCGACAGAGAGAGAGAGCCTTCCCCTAGAGCTGGCGCCCTGAATTCAGACTTCTAGCCTCCTGCACTGTGAGACAATAAATTTCCGTTTGTTAAAGCTACCCACTTGTGGTATTTCTGTCACAGCAGCACTAGATAACTAAGACAGACTCAAGGTAAGATCATCCTGGATTATCTAGGTGGACTTTAAATTCAATGATAAGATCCTTATAAGAAACAGAAGAGAAAACACAGGGAAAACCACCCTGTGACGATGGAGGTAGGGACTGGAGTGATGTAGCCACAAGCCCGGGACCACCTGGAGCCACCAGAAGCTGGAAGAGACAAGGAAGGATCCTCCCCTGGAGCCTCCAGAGAGAGTGCGGCCCTGCCAACACCTTGATTTCAGACTTCTGGTCTCCAGGACTCTGAAAGAATACATTTCTATTGTTTCAAGTCACCCACATTGTGATAATTTGTCATAACAGCCCTTGAAAACTAATATATAGCTGTTATGTTAACCAATTCTTGGTTGTCAGTTACGACAAGTATGATGCTCAGAAAATACTTTACTTTCAAATGCAAAATAACAAAAAAATCATTTTTAAAAAGGTTGCTGATACCATATCCTTTATTTTTACATTGGTAAAAATAAAACAAGCCCTACTTTCTTTCATCTCATATATTGTAAAACTCTTCCACAATACCTTGAAATGTGCAAACTGTATAGCTGGTAATAGTGGCATATGCTTGGGGGTAGGATATTTGATTGGTATAATATTATCATCACAATTACCACTCACGTAGCAATTGTAGCTGGGTAGTCACAAAGTGTACTTTTATACTTTCTACAGTTATTTAGGAATCTCTAAGTAGTACAAATGATTAATGTGCTAGGCTGCTAACCAAAGGGATGCAGGTTCAAGTCCACCCAGAGGTGCCTCAGAAGAAAGGCCTGGTGATCTGTTTCCCAAAAGATCAGCCATTCAAAACCCTATGAACCACAGTTCTACTCTGACACACATGGGATCACCATGAGTCGGGGTTGACTCAACAGCAACTGGGTTCATTTATAGATGTTCAGGAAAATTCCAAACCTGAGTTTTGCTGTCTGTAGCCTGATCCCAGTCCTTAGACTCTGCTGAAGATTTTTCCATTTTCTTCAGGGATGTTAGATGCCAGTCATACTCGATGCTGCCTGACTCGATTGATTGGCCATCAACTTTCACGTCGTAAGTCAGATCTGGTCTTAAAATCAGAGTGTAAAGGTGTGTAAAGGCATCGACCTGCAAATTCCAGGGGAGAAAGGGTAACAATGAATCCCTTGATGCTTCAGCTTAGCTCTCAGTTTATTTACATGTTCATCAGCCACAGCGTTGTTAGAAAAGGCAAGGAGACAGACTCTGGGAGGATGGGTGATTTAATTATAAGATAAAGGGTGTCCTAGCGAGACTTTGAATCCCTTACTGTGGACACATCATCAGGAAAGACTAATTGCTAGAAAAGGACAACATGGCTGTTAAATTGGGGGTTCGTTGAAATGAGGGAAACCCTCCACGAGATGGACTGAAACAACAGCTGCAAAAACGGGCTCAAACACACCAATGATCATGAAGATGGCACAGGACGGGGCAACGTTTCCTTCTGTTGTACTTGGGGTTGACGTGAGTTGGAACCGACTCTACGGGAACAACAACAGAATGATCACCCTCTTGCAGAATACTTCCTCGCTTTATTAATAGCCTTCTCTTGGACTAGTAGTCGCCCTCGCAGAAAGACAGTGGCTCCCATTTATAAAACCCACAGGAAACCACGACTGGGCAGCCGATACAAACTAAGGGGTCACTGCCCTGTTTGACTTAAGAGAAGCCATATGAAAAAACTGTTTTCTATTCTAGAAGATGCCAAAGGAAGGCTACTCTTGAATACATCTGTTTGTCAGTACAAGGAGGAATTTTCTAATACTCTGAGCTGTCCAACTGTTCAAGCCCCGTGAAGGGAAGCTGGGTGCCTCATACAAGGAGGGGACCAAAAAAAACAAACGCGTTGCCATCAAGTCTGACTCACAGTAACCCTTTAGGACAGAGTAGAGCTGCTCCACAGGGTTTCCAAGGCTGTAATCTTTATAGGAGCTGACTACCCCATCTTTCTGTCGAAGAGTGGGCAGTTTCGAACCACCAACCTTTTGGTTAGCAGCCCTGTGCCACCAGGGCTCTTTGAACAAGAAGGGAAGAATTCAGTAAATACAAAGTAAAGGTGGGAAGGAAGGTGGGAGGGTGGTTCCTGGCATGCCTGCCTGTCACAGCAGCGGGTACCCCTGCATCCTACTCCACTGCGGCCCTCTATGGTACCCACCCAGCAGCACCAGCAGCACCAGGGACACTGCAGAAATGCTCATTCCCAGGCAGCCCAACTGGTTCCATTGGGACCTCTGAGGGGCCACAGTCTGTGCCCCCAAGGCCTGGGGTCCTGACGCTGCTCAGGTGGGAGAACCACTGTCTTGTCATCTTAAAGGCTCTATGTCCCCATGAGCCCCTTTAATGAGAGCCAAGCCCACAGGCCTCTCTGCCCTGTGCCACCATCTGCTTTGCCAACAGGGCCGGCCACTATGGCTCACACTGGATGTTCAGGATCAAGACTACGGCCAGCTCTGGGTCCTCAGCCTCAGCAGTGCGAGGTGACAGGAGCACCCACCTTGCCAAACGCTCTCCTCGGGCTCACCGCCAGCCCCCAGTGCTGTCCCACCATGATTTTGTCATCGGGACAGACCCTCCTGAGTGACTGCTACCACTCTCCATTTTCCATGTCCACACAGATGTAAACAACCCAAAAGCGGCACCACCACTCCCAACCCTCAGCCTAGAGCTCAGCCCATTTCCAACACCCTGCTGGCCACGTGCCCCTGGAGGCCCTGCGGGACCGAGCAGCCTACCACTCAGACACGGCATGGCCGTGTGGTTCATCACAGCACCGCAGAGGGTCATCCTTGGCTCCCGTCTTCCCTTGTCACAGAGCACTGATGAGCCTATCTCCAGGTCACAGGTCAATTCTACCCCAGGTCCTGCCCCAGCCCACCTCTGGGTCATAGGTCAGGCCTCCCCTAGGCTGTGGGCCCGAGCCTACCTCCAGGTCACAGGTTGGGCCTCCCCCAGGCACTGCACCCAAGGCTTTGGCCTAATAGTCCCACCACCCCCTCTAGGCACATCAGAGGTAATTCTCAAGCATTTTTCAGGCCCCTCCTGGGAAGCCCTAGTGGCTGACCATGCTTGCCACCAGCAAGGTTCCCAGCCCCTCCAACACCCAGGGTGTGTCAGAGCCCATGAGGATGGCCGTGCTCTGGCTGAGAGTTCTATGGTGCCAACAAGCTGCCAGGGGCCCCATGCCGCTCTCAAACAGGCAGCAACATGATCCTCCAGGGGCCATTGGGCTACAGTGGCAGTCTGGGCAACACAGACATGCTGACCCTCAGCTATAGTTTCCTGGCCTCTGGGGTCTTGGCCCCAGAGGGTACCATGGGCCCACAGAGGAAGCCCCTGGCACCTTCCCGGCTAGGGGCCCAGCAGCCTTTGCAGTGTCACCTCCTGCCTCTGCCCTGAGAAATGGAGATGACACTCTTTAGGTCACCTGGGTAAGAGAGCAAGACAGTATGCATTCACTTTAGAAATACTCCCCTTCGAAAATGCTTGGGTATTTTGAAGATGCTTAATTTCTCCAGAATGTGTTTTTCATCCTGAATATTTTATCATTGGTAATGATGGATATGGATGAAACATGAGGGTCCTGCTGTAACTCTTCAGGGGACAATGACAGTCTGATGACATGGTTGTGATGGTTAACATTATGTGTCAACTTGGCTAGGCCATGCTTCCCAGTATTGTGTGGTTGTCCTCCATTTTGTGATATTATATAATTATCCTCCATTTTATGTGTTGTGAATCCTAACCTCTATATGTTAATGAGGCAGGATTAGTATGGGGTGTATCTTGAGTCACAGACTTATAAGAGAGTGTGATTCAACTCACACCCTTATTCAAGTCACACCCTTACTCTGATGTAGGGGGAGCTTCCTTGGTGGTGTGACCTGCATCCAATATGTATACGAATGCCGTTGCAAGGCACTTCCTTGCTCTGGATCCTGCATCCGGCTTATCATCACCTGCCTACCAGTTCCTGGGACTTCAGCCTGCTGTCTGACCTACCAGTTCTGGGATTGGCCAGCTTCCACAGCCCCGTGAGCCAACAGCTTACCCTCTGACCTGCCAATCGTGGATTCCTCAGCCCCTACAAGAAGTGAGTCAGGAGAAGCCTCCAGCCTGATGCCTGACCCATGGATTTGGGACTTGCCAGCCTCCACAACTGCGTGAGCCATTTCCTTGAGATAAATCTCTATATATATACTTATATATAAATGCTTCACTGGTTTTGCTTCTCTAGAGAACTCAGCATAAGACAATGGTTCACAGTAAAAGGGACTTGTGCCCTACTGGTGAGGTCAGAACATTCAGGGGAACAAACCAGTCAGAGTTGACAAGTCTCTCTAGTGGACCCGTTAGCCTGGAAACCAAGGTGGGGAGTTATGTTCACTCAGACCTGGCTTTGGCTTAGCAAAATACTTTAAGATCAAAACTATCTTCTCTAAACGTGGTTACCACTGAAAAGAGAGTTAATACAATCACTGATTTGGGTACAAGAGCATTTACCTTACACCTGATTGATTTCTTGTTTGAATGATACTGATTCTTGAAATATAAAATGACATGAATTTTCTTGATATCAAATCCGCAAATATCGGGTCCTACAAAAAAAATGAGATGCTCTCAATTTCTTTCCGTAATTTATGCACCACCATAAAGTACCCCCTCCTGACCACTCTCCTTAAATTTACAAGGCCCAGAAGTGACACCAACCATTGGCAGGCCCTTCTCTGGAAATTGCAGCTGCCTGGGTCTCAAGCACGTCAGCCTGTACGAGAAGGCAGGCCCAGCCGTCTAACAGGTGTCCCTGGTGCTACCTGCCTCGCCCCAGCTCTGACACATGCACCTGTGACCAGGTAGGGTGCAGGTGTCAGAGCTGCCCAGACTGGCTCCAACCCCAAGGTGGCAGTTCCAGGGGCTGAGACATGTGGCAACTACTTAGCCTCCCCATGCCTCTGTTTCCTCATCTATAAAATGGGGATGTTAATCTTGACTTCATAAGGTATTATGCCAGTGAAATGGACTGGTGTATGTAAAGCACTTAGTGTGGCAAAGCACAGGATTTGTGCTGTTGTTATTATCATTATTATACTCCAAGAAGATCTATACCTACATAAAACAGTGTGGCAAAGCTCAAGACTTGTGCCATTATGTATTATTACACTCTAAGATGATACATACCGATACATCTACACAGACACACACACGCACACACAGACACACACACACTCTTAATGATAAACCCAAATGATAAAGGAGAAAGAGATTATACTCAGTACGTAGGTTCCAGTGAAGTTGCTAAGAACATGGAATGTTGTGGAACATACCATTCCCCGAGGATCTGTCATTTTGAACACTGTCATTCTGAACATGTGGACCAAGGCTTATGGGGTATAACTGGGAAATCCGTCCAGCCTTTTGATGATGTTTGACCTGTCCTGCGGGTCATTGGCCTCAAGCACACATTTGCTGTTCTTCCTATTTCAGATAGAACATTCTGGAACACCCCTGGACTGGGTGCCCACCTCGGGGTATTGTGTCTGGCTAAACAAGTATAAACACAAGCACGTCCACATCTTTTGTTGAGCGCTGAGTGATGAACCCCAGAGTAAAGGGAGATTCAGGCTGTACACAAGTACTTACAGAACGTTAGCAACTGGCTAGAAGGAGATGCTACATCAAACCTGGAAACGGCATTGTGAAGCATCCACAGAGAACACTGTGCGCTCTCAAAGGGTGTGCGCTTCATTTCTTTTGTTGCCATCGCTGGAAAACATCCCAGTCCACTTTTTAAAATGAAAGCTACGGCATGTAAGCTATTTGTGTAAAATACGACTTTTTCAGAATTGAGATGTGTGATTTAGTTTTCCTTCAAAACTGGCCAGAATTTTCCTCCTCTCTATTCCTTAGCACCTACACACTGTTCGTATTGAATTAAGCTTTAGGACACGCTCAGAAATGACAGGGAAATCTGGAGTTTTCTTTTAATGGCAATAATAAAATTGCCACAAATGGATTTTTATCAGGAAGGGACATAGGGTCTGAATTTGGGCTGATCTGACTTTGGGCACGTAGTTTAATCTGAGCCTCAGTTTCCTTATCTGCAAAATGGGGGTGGTAAGGTCTGTTTTCCGGGGTTTTACATACATCACCTAAGACTGCATATGCTGGCCCCGGCAAGGGCTTGATAGAACAGGCTTCTCTCCTCTTCCCCTTCAGCACCCTGCGAACCATTAAATTCTTCTCATACCAAAAGCTAGAGCTGAGACGTCAGGGGACGGGCTTTAATAGTGACAGGTCTCTAATTCAACAGTTCATTTTTCTGCTATATTATCTTTACCATCCTGTTTAAATAGAATAACCCCCACCACCAAAACCAAGACCTTTAAATTTCTTTTTGAATCAAAACAGACACCTTCATTCCAGATTTCAAATTCAAGAGCACATGGGAGGCAGGGTAGAGCAGAAGGAACTCAGGGCAGGGAGTCAGGGTCTGTGGTATCTGTGGAGACTTTGCTTCTGTCTAATTCTGTCACTTTGGAGAAATCCCCATACTCCATAAAATGACAGAGTGGGATCACACAATCTCTAATACTCTACTTCTAAAGCTCAGATTCTGAATTACACTATGACCAGCAGTGTAGATAAACATAACAACAGTACAACCAGGTGACCAAAGCCTGCTGCTGATTGCAATAAATTCAGAGATAAGCATGGGAAAAACATACAAGGGAGAAAAATTCCACAAGCCATCCATGTTCGGGTATGGGAGAAAAGGATTTTAAAGAATGATTCCCCAAATGTGGAGCATGGGTGGATATTTTAAAAGTACACCTATTCCTAAAAAGATTTCGAGAGGGAGAGCCTAGCTTCTGGAACCTACACCCTTCAGTTACATCTCTTCCTCATTTCAGCATACATTTTAATCCATTACCCTCGGTGTCAGGAGAGATTGCATGTATTTCAGGGGTTGGCAAACTTTTCCTGTAAAGGGCCAGATAGGAAATATTTTCGGCTTTGTGGGTGAATGGCCTTTGTTGCAACAACTCAACTCTGCTATCTGTTATAGCAGGAAGGGAGCCTTAGACAAATGTAAAAGAACAAGCATGGCTGTGGGCCAATAAAACTTTATTTATGGAAATTGGAAATAAACTTAATTTTTTTCAAGTATGAATTTCATATAGTTTTAATTTTTAGATTTTTGAAATTCATGTAATTTTCACAAGTCACGAAATATTATCCTTCCTTTGATTTCTTTCAACCATCAAAACATGTAAAAACTACTCTTAGCTCGTGGGTGGCAAAAAACAAGCCATAGTTTGCCAACTCCTGATATATTCAGTGTAGGCTGGGTTCCATTAATACTGAATAAATAACTTTCTCAAAAGCATGACAGAATGGTACAATGGTCTTTTTTTTTTATTAACATTTTATTGTATTTTTGATGAAACATACACACAGCAAAACACGCTCCCATTCAACAGTTTCTACACAGAACTGTGCTCCACAGTGTTTTCAGTGACATTGGTTACATTCTTCACATTGTGTCAACATTCTCATCATTTCCTTTCTAGTTGTTTCGTTCCCATTAACTTAGTCTCACTGGCCCCAAACTTCTCATCTATGCTTTAACTTTTGTCCATTTGACCTCATATAGATACTCAAGGATGACATTCTTTACTATTTGAGCTAACCTTCTATTTAGTTAAAAGGTGATTTCAGGGAATAGTTTCGCTTCAACGTTTAAAGAGTATCTCAGGGCAAGAGTCTTGGGGATTCCTCGGTATGTAAAACCCACTGCTGTTGAGTCAATTTCAACTCACAGTGACCCTACAGGACAGGGTAGAACTGCCCCACAGGGCTTCCAAGACTGTAAATCTTTATGGAAGCAGACTACCATATCTTTCTCCTGTGGAGCAGCTGGTGGGTTTGAATCACCAACCTTTTAGTTAGCAGCTGAGCACTTTAACAACTGTGCCACCAGGGTTCCTTTAATAATATTAATGAGATTTAACAGGGCTTAAAAACCTTCGGTCAGTTACACTCACTACTGCCCTTATGCTGACCTCATGGTATTTCAGCAAAGTCTTAGTCTACAGCTCACCCCAGGTGGAAGAGTTTTCGAGGTTTCTAGAAATGGCTGCACTGTACACATGTGAACTCACCGAACATAATGTAGTACTGTGATTTTCCATTCAGGTTCTTCTGGTCCACATCCGAGGGAAAGACCTTGACGTAGCCCCCGCCGCAGTCCATCTTCTGCTCGTGTTTCACCGTGTACTGAATCACCAGGGTCTTCCCTTTGTTGCTAAACGGTTTGAACCGTGCAGAGATGGCATAGAACCGGCCGTTTTGGGTGGTTTGCAGACCTTTCAATGAAAAGTACTAATGTAGGATTAGGATGACACTGTGCTTAGTGACTCAGGAAAGTCATCCCCCCAACACCAACAACAAACATTATAGAAAACAACCTGTTGCTGCCCAGTTCATTCCGACTCATTGCAACCTCATGTGTTACAGAGTAGAATGGCTCCATAGGGTTTTCTTGGCTGTAATCTTTATGGGAGCAGATCACCAGGCCTTTCTGCTGCTGTACCACACCTATTCCAGTGCCAATATAATACCAAACAGGCATACTTCTCACTGGCTCTCTGCTTCCACAGACTTTACAGTTCACACATCTGGACATTTTTGTACTTAATATAGTGCTGTTATAAGTGTAGAGGGTTTTGGTATTCAGTGGTACAATTCATGGCTTCCATGCAGGAGGCCTGGGTTCCATTTCCAGCAAAGTCACCTCATGTGCAGCGACCACCTATCTGTCCATGGAGGCTTGCGTGTTGCTAGGATGCTGAACAGGTTTCAGCAGAGTTTCCAGGCTAAGACAGACCAGGAAGAAAGGTCTGGCGATCAACTTATGAAAATCAGCCCATGAAAACCCTATGGGACACAACGGTCCAAGCTGCAACTAATCATGGGGACAGCTTAGGACTTGGCAGCATTTCATTCCATTGTGCATGGGGTCGCCATGAGTTGGTGGTGACCTAGTGGCTGCTGGGCAGGTTTGAACTGCCAATCTTTTTGGTTAGTAGTTAAGCACAAACTGTTTGTGCCACCCAGGGATCAGTATGTCCAAACCTGAACTAATAACTGCCTCTCACTACCACACCCCTCTCTCTCTGCTCCCCCCGCCACCCCCCATCTCTCCAGGAATTCGCGGCCCCTCCCTCTCCCTTACCACCTACCATCTAGACAATCCCCAAGGCCAACTGAGTCTGTCTCCTTCTGTGTCTGATCCCACTCTGACACCCCCTCACCCTCTTTCACCCCCCCCCCAATCTCATTGTGGCTAAATTCTACTCATCCTTCCATTCAGGGCTTCAATGTCATAGTCCTAGGAGACCCGGAGGGATGGGGCCTTATTACTGGTTGTCCCCATGTCTGCTCTCAGTAGTCATGTGTCCAAGGAATGAATGGAATGCACAGACTCTCAGGATTCCAAATGAGAGAAAGGAAAAAAAATGTGGAAAAAACCCAAATGATTCAGAGGAGTAGCCAAAGTGGAAATTTCTTTTGACAAGTTGCATGGAATTAAAAAAACAAACAACTGCTGTTGAGTTGGCTCTGACTCACGGTGACCCCATGTGTGTCAGGGTAAACCTGTGCTCCACAGGGTTTTCAGTGGCTAATTTTTTTGGAAGCAGATTGCCAGGCCTTTCTCTTCTGAAGCACCGCTGAGTGGGTTCAAACAGCTACCCTTGTATAGCAGCCTAGTGCTTAACCGTATGCACCACCCAAAACCAAAAAACCAAACCAATTGCTGTCAAGTTGATTCTGACTCATGGCAACCCCATGTGTGTGAGAACAGAACTGTGCTCCACAGGGTTTTCAGTGGCTGTGACCTTTTGAAGTAGATTACCAGGCCTTTCTTCCAAGGCAACTCTGGGTAGGTTCGAACTACCAATCCTTTAGTTAGTAGTCATGTGCTTAACCATTTCTACCACCCAAGAACTCATTCTGATTGTCGTTAGCTGCCATCAGGTTGATTCTGACTCCTCGTGTTCCCGAAAGGGGCCCTGGTAGCCCAACGGTTGAGCGTTCATCTGCTAACTGAAAGGCTGGTGGTTTGAACACATCCGGAGGCTCTGTGGAAGACGTGGCAATCATATTCAGTAAAGATTAACCCTGCTGCCTTAAAGTTGAATCCAACTCACCGCTACCCTATAGGACAGAGAAGAACTCCCCCACAGGGTTTATAAGGAGCAGCTGGTGGATTCAAACTGCCAACCTTTTGGTTAGCAGCGAGCTCTTAACCACTGCGCCACTAGGGCTCCTCTGGAAAGATTACAGCCTAGAAAACCCTATGGGGCAGTTCTACTCTGTCACCTCATAGAGTCGCTAGGAGTGGAAATTGACTGGGTGGCAATTAACAACACGTGCTCATAAAAACAACCCCCCCGAAGGCCTTACGTCTTCCTTTCCTTACCTGTAAAACGGGTGTAACAGGTGTTGGGGAGTCACCACACCTACCTTGCAAGGCTGCTAAGGGCGTTAAGCATTTAGCTGCACTTTCCCATGATTCCTACACTAACCTTTGTCTTTTTCCTTATGGCCATAAAACTTCCCCGACGAGAGTCTAAAATGCCCGAATTGGGAGTCATTGGTGGACGGCACCCATCGGTTCCTCCAGCGCTCTGTGGGGGAAACAACACCAGTGAGGGCTGAAAACTGTTAGTTTCGGTCACTGGGAGGGTAAGGGGGCCCTCGAGGCCTCGAAACTTTGCGGCTTCGCCACCGCCAACCCCACAGCGAGGGGCCTGGGGCCAACGGCGACTAGGCCGGCAGTTGGGCAGCGAAGTGGGAGGTCTTCACGCCCCCGCAACCAGGCGTGGCCCCTTTCACCTCCGTCTAGAAACTCCTCCTGGAAGTAGACGGTCGCCAACGCCACTCTCAGCAAGCACACCACCCACAGCAGGCCTCTGGCCGCCGCCATGCAGGCTGCGTGGCGTCGCTTTTACAACTGCCCCTTGCTCTCAGCGGCCTCTCAGCCGCGCTCCGGCCCGTCCAAAACTACAACTCCCGGCACGCCCCGCGATTGTGACTTGGCGCGCCATTGGTCCCCTGCGCGCGGTGCACGCCGGGCCTTCTCCAGAACTACTGCTCCCATGAAGCCCGCGATTGTGACCTGCTGCGCCATTGGTCTCCGCAGCGCAGTGCACGCTGAGAGATGTAGTCTCTTCTGCCCCAGCGCTGTTGCCCAGGCAACGGTCCCCTGGGGCCTGGGTGCCTGGCCGGAGCGCGGCGGCGGACACCGCGGTTGGACAGCGTGCGAGGAGGTCGGAGGGGCCGGTGGGCAGCACGTGGGCGGGGGCGCTTCGGCCTGGGGGAGTGAGTGGGAGGAAATGGGGGCGCTCTTCAAAGCTGGGCTAGGGGGACGGGGCGGGGCGAGCCTCAGTTTCTCTGAGCCCCACTCAGGAGCGTGGTTCGGTGCAGGTGGTGCCTAGGGTCTGGGGTAAGAGCCGGGATGGTGTGAGCAGCGGCAGTGTTTTCAAAGTTTGGTTTATTTATTTTTGACAGCTCTTTTGAGGTCAGTGGGGTCACTAGGGGGGTGCATTGTCAGAGGGGGTGACACCAAAATGACCCCAGGATCCGAGGCGGCAGGCGCACCGAATCCGCAGGGGGAGGGGCTACCAAGGCATTGGCGTCACTAGGGCCAGTTTCACCCGTCACCCAGTGCGGTAATTCGTCCCCCCGCCCCGCCATTTAAGGTGACGGCAGTCGGGCCTTGGCACCGGCCATGGGGCGGAGAGGAGAGCTTGGCCAATGGGCGAGGGGCGGAGCTGCGGGGAGCTGTAGGGGGGCAGGCCGGGCCTGGCCGCTCGCTCCGCCAACGAAGGGGGGGTTTCGCCGGCCAGCCCTGCCCACTCCGAGTGGGGTTGGGATGGGGGGGGTGTGAGTTACCACACTGAGTGACACCAACCCTAGTGATAACCGCTGATCAAGGTATCATTTACATATCATAAGAATGACTCGTTTTAAATGTACCTGTATCAGTTGCATAGAATCACCTCCTAGTCTTGTGGACCCCATGTGTATCAGAGTAGAACTGTGCTCCGTAGGGTTTTCAATGGCTGATGTTTCAGAGGTGTATCTCCAGGCTTTCTTCCAAGATGCCTCTGGGTGGACTCCAGCCTCCAACCTTTTGGTTAGCAGCCAAGTGCGTTCACTGTTTGCACCACCCAGCGACTCCTTTTAAATGTACAATTCCGTTATTTTTAGTAAATTTACCAAGTCGTGCAGCCATGGCCACTCTCCAGCTTTAGAACATTTCTATCAACCAAAGAAAATCCCTCCCACCCCCAGCCCCGGGCAACCACTGATTTACTTTCTGTCTCTATGGATTGGCCTGTTTGCGACATTTCGAACAAATGGAATCATACACTATGTGGCATTTTGCATCTGGCTTCTTTCCCCTTACCATGAAGTGTTTGAGATTCATCTATGTTGTTGTGTGTATCACTATGTGTTCTTTTTTATGGCTGAATAGTATTCCATTGTATGGCTAGACCACAGTTTGTTTATCCGTTCATCAGTTAATGAATATTTGGGTTATTTCCACTCTTTGTCTATTACAAATAATAGGTATTATGAACTTTTGCATACAAGTCTTTGTGTGGATATGTTTTCAGTTCCTTGAGTATATACCTAGGAGTGGAATTGCTGGGTCATATGGTAGTTCTATGTTCAACTTTTTGAGGAACTGCCAGATGATTTTCCCTCGTTCCTTTTTAAAAAACATTTTATTGTGTTTCTGGTGAAAGTGTACACAGCAAATTTGTTCCTATTTAACAATTTCTATGCATATTGTTTAGTGACATTGGTTACGTTTTTCATAATGTGTCAACATTCTCATTCTTTCCATTCTGGTTGTTCCGTTTCCATTAATCTAGCTTCCCTGTCCCCTCCCCCCACCCTTACCTTCTCATCTTTGCTTTAGGGTAAATGTTGACCGTTTGGTCACATATAGATGATTCCCTTGTTCCTTTTTAATGGCTGCATAGTCTTCCACTATCTGGATGGGTCTCCTGGACCTCACCAGTTCTCTAGGGATGGGTTTAGGTTTTCAGTGAGTACAAACAATGCTGCCGTGAGTTTCCTTGAATATAAATCTTCATTCCTCCCCTTTTTTAATTGTGGTGAAAATATACATAACAAAACATATGGCATCTCGACAATTTCTACATTTGCAATTCAGTGGTATTGATTACATTCTTCGAATTGTGTACCCATTCTCGCTGTCCTTTTCCAAATTATTCCATCACTGTTAAACATAAACTCAATGCCCCCTAAGCAAAAACACTCCTTTCCCTGCTCTCTCCCACCCCTGATAACCACTAATAATCTTTGATTTCTATATGTTTGCTTGTTTCATGTAAGTGAGATCATACAGTATTTCTCCTTTTGTGACTGACTCAATTCACTCAGCATGATGTTTTTAAGGTTCATCCATGTTGTGGCACATATCAGGGTTTCATTTCTCTTTACGGCTGAGTAGTATTCCATTGTGTGTATATGCCACATTTTATCCATTCATCTGTTGACGGACATTTTGGTTGTTTCCACCTTTTGGCTATTGTGAAAAGTGCTGCAGTGAACATTGGTGGACAGGTTTCTGTTTGCGTTCTTGCTTTCACTGCTGGGAAGATACCTAGGATTGGGATTACGGGGTCATATTTCAGGTTTTTGAGGAAACTCCAAACTGTTTCCCATAGCAGCTGCACCATTTTACATTCCCACCAGCAATGGATGAGGGTTCTAGTTTCTCTACCACCTCACCAACACCTACTGTTTTCTGTTTTTTCTTTTAAATCATTGCCATTCTAATGGGGGTGAGATTGTATCTTATTGTGGTTTTGAATTGCATCTCCCTAGTAGCTAATGGGAGTCCTGGTGGTGCACCAGTTAGGAGGTTAAGAGCTCGGCTCCTCATGAAGAGGTCAGCAGTTCAAATTCACCGGCCACTCCTTGGAAACCCAATGGGCAGTGTCATGGATTGAATTGTGTCCTCCAAAAAATGTGTGTATCAATTTGGCTGGGCCAGGATTCCTGGTATTGTTTGATTTTCCTATATGTGGCAAATCCTGCCTCTGTGATGTTAATGAAGAAGGATGGGTGGCAGTTGTGTTAGTAAGACAGGACTCAATCTACAAGATTGGATTGTGTCCTGAGGCAATCTCTTGAGATATAAAAGAGAGAAGTGAGCAGAGAGACTGGGGACCTCATACCACCGAGAAAGCAGTGCCAGGAGCAGAGAGTGTCCTTTGGACCTGGGGTCCCTGCGTGGAGAAGCTCCTAGTCTAGGGGGAACATTGATGAGAAGGCCAATAGAGAAAGCCTTCCCCTGGAGCTGATGCCCTGAATTTGGACTTTTAGCCTACTTTACTATGAAGAAATAAACTCATTGTTAAAACAATCCACTTGTGGTATTTGTGTTATAGCAGCACTAGATGACTAAGACAGGCAGTTCTACTCTGTCCTATAGGGTCACTATGGGTTGGCATCGACTCCTCGGCAACAAGTTTCGAGTTTAAATAGCTAATGACGTTGAGCATCTTTTCATGTGCTTGTTGGCTCTGTTGAAGTCCTTTGCCTATTTTTTGATCAAGTTGTTTGTCTTTTTGTTGTAAAGTTGTAGAAGTTTTTAGAATATATTTTGAATGTTAGACCCTTATAGATTATGTGTTTCTCTGTGCACTTTTGAGAGAGTAATTGCAGGTAAATTCCTAGAGGTGGAGTTGCTGGATGCCAGCACTTAAGGGGCTGCAGCATATACACACCCACTCATGCCGTGGTTTTAATCCTTTTAAGTTTGTGAAATCTTTTGAAGCCTTGTAGATCTTGCAGCAGCTAGTGTATGTTACAGGGGCTCATGGGAACTCCGGGAATCTGATGAAAGTACTCACTCTTCTCCCCAGGAAAGTACACCCCAAATGCCCATGTAATACATTGCAAACATTTGGTGGGGAGGGGGGCAGGATGCTCTGTCTGCCCATAGGCCCTCCCCAGGCCAGTGGTCCTCCTGCTTTAAGTGAAATAAGATTTTCTGGGGAGCTTGTTAAATATACATTGCATTTCAGTTGCTGTCGTGAATGAGCTGAGGATGCTTGGATGTAGCGGTGCGGCTGGGAGCAGGGCTTGATTGGGTGTTATGGGAGTCAGGTGAGGCCAGAAGCACAGTGGTTGGCAGCGTGGTCTTTGGAATTGGAACTGAGCTTTGAATTTGGTTTGCTACTAGCCAAGGAGCCCTGGTGGTACAATGGTTAAGCACTTGGTTGCTAACCAAAAGGTTGATGGTTCAAACCACCCAGTGGCTCCGTGGCAGAAAGACCTAGCAATCTGCTCTGGTAAGATTATAGCCTAGAAAACTCTATGGGGTAGTTCTACTCTGTCACATGGGGTGGCCATGAGTTGGAATTGACTGGACAGCACAACAACACTCCCCAACCAGTGACCTTGGCTGGTAACCTACCTGTGTGAACTTCCGTCTCCTCCACTTCCTCTGTAAAATGGGGAGGATGGTAACCAACTCAGGAGCACTGTGAGGATAAGATGAGATGATATACCATAGTGCTGAGCAGATGGCCCGCTCACTGCCCAGACCCAGAGGTGCCAACGCTTGTGTTGAATGAGTTTTGTTTAACACCTGGAGTAGAATGGTAGTTCAGTTAGTGGTGGTTGTTAGCTGCCATCGAATCAGCCCTGACTCATGACGACACCATGCACAATGGCACAAAAAGCTGCTCGATCCTGAGCCATCCCCATGATTGGTATCAGATTGGACCATTGTGCTCCAAGGGTTTTCACTGGCAGATTTTCAGAAGTCGATTGCCAGGCCATTCTTCCTAGTCTGTTTTAGTCTGGGAGCTCTGCTGAAATCTGTCCAGCATCATAGCAGCACACAAGCCTCCACTGACAGATGGGTAGTGACAGTGAGTGGAACCAAGCATCTAGTCATTCTCATCATCAACATTGGGCTGGAGGGGAAGGTGGCTAGGGCCAGACTGCAAAGGGGGGCCTGTGACCTCTACTCGGCGGTGGGCACCTTTGCGAGAACTGAATGCACCATATGAACGGAGCTGTCCCTACCATAAGTCGTGTCTCTTTTCTCCGTAGAATGGCATCAGCAAGAAAAGCCAGCCACTCTGTGCCTGACATGTTTGGTGACTTCAGTGATATTTCCTTAGAAGATTCAAAAATGGAAGCAATCAGAAACTTACAAATCGGACAAATTGGCAGAAGTCTTAGCAAAATAACAGCCAGTGAGAGCAGGTTCCTGAAAAGAAACCAAACAGTGGGTGAGAGACACCTATTCCCGAAAGAGAGCCCCATCCTGCGGGGTGGGCCCAGGCCCTCCTCAGGCCGGATCCCGACCACTGCCTCCCAGATCCGGGCAAGTGCCGCACTTCTGAAGCTGGCCCAGATAGAGACCAAGATCAGGAACCGCAAGGCGCAGAGGGGTTTGTCAGATGTGGAGTCTGATGTGAAGACCTCTGACACTAGCCTTCCAAAGGGGGCCGAGGAGGTCCCCACCAGGAGTACAGCTGAACTTTCTTCGCAGAACACAGGCAAAACTTCCCAGAAATATGCCCGTGAAATCCCTGCTGCTGAGAGCCAGGCACAGAGCGGGAAGGGCAGCAGGTTCCTCAAGAAGAAAGAGCCGCCTGCTGAAAATATCTCTCCTGAAGCATGTTTTGGGAAAAAACTCAATTTTTCAACACCCAAGGAGAAAGAACCTGCTAGAACATTTGACTCTCCAGACAGTGATGAAGAGGAAATGAAAAAGTTACTGGGAAGCTTGATGGAATCTTCTAGAGAAAAAGAAACACATATAAATCAGGGTTTCACCAGCACTAAAGTCAGTGAGAAAAAGCAAATGGAACTCTTCTCTGTAAGTTCTTATTTTTGTTTTTAACAAAGTCTTTGCATCTGCCCCCTTCATGTCATAGCCAGTAAACCCATTGCTGTTGAGTCAACTCTGACTCGTGGCGACTGTATGTGTGTCAGAGTAGAACTGCTCCATAGGACTTTCAATGGCTGATCTTTCAGAATTAGATTGTCAGGCCTTTCTTCCGAGGTGCCTCTGGGTGAACTTGAATCACCAACCTTTCGGTTAGCAGCTGAATGCATTAACCCTTTGTACCAGCAGGACTCTAATTTAGAAAATGTGTAACTAACACCATGTATCTGAAGGCAAAGTGATACCTCTAATTGTGGATTTATTCCCAATGTGCAAAATAACTGGGATTTCTTTCCAATCCCAACATTTTATTATCTAAGTGCTGTACCTCGACTACCAGTAATGAGTGGAAAGAAGAGAAAGGGGGCACAGAGGGGTAACAACTCAGTTGCTAAGGCGTTGGTCATATGCCCCACTAGCCCCAGCTCTGCGTGTAGCATGATAAGGACTTGATTATCCTGCATTTGTAATTTCATCTCTTTTATTTCTGTCAAAGTTGGATCAGATCCCAGCTCGGCCACGAGGTCTGTCTCTACCCAGTGAGGAGCTTCCCAGCCCCAGGCCATTCCGGAAGCCACGTCCACCAACATCACGGTCAGGCAGCAGGACCCCTGTCCGCATCCGCTCCAGAACATCCTCGCCGCAGACCCCTGATTCTGGCGGCCCAGCGTCCCGTGCGTCAGTGCTCTCAGCCACAGGCACCTCGTCCAGGTGCCCCAAGCTCCCTTCCTCCCTTGGAAGGAGTGAGGCTGGGCCCTTGGAGGAGGAGTCGCTCTCTGAAACTGCCAGTGACAGCCTTGGTAAGCTGCATTTTCATTTTCGTGCACGGAGTTGGGGGCTGGGGGATGCGTGTGGAGGTTGCAGGTGCTGCTGCAAGAGGGGATGGCGGCCTCGTCACACTCCAGTTCTTCGACTTCCTTCCCTGGTTGAGGGGGTAGGTCAGATTTTTGTTCTGCCCTTAAAGTCTTCATCCACTAACTCTGACCGACTACTGGGCGATAACCCAAAAAGGGAGTGGTGCAAACAGTTAAGTGCTCAACTGCTGGCCCAAAGATTAGGGGTTCAAACCCCACTAGAAGCTCCTCAGAAGACAGGCCTGGTGATCTGCTTCCAAAAGGACATAGCCTTGAAAACCCTGTGGAGCAGTTCTGCTCTGCACATGTGGGGTCACCCTGAGTCAGTCGATTCAACGGCAATGGGTTTGGTTTTGGAGTTATTTTCTGGTAACCTGAAAAAAAGCCCTTCTCAATTTTTTTTTTTTTTTTTTAGTAAAAGAGAAATTTGTTTCCTTTATAAATTCAGAAAAGGAAACATAACTCTCTACCCAAATCAAGATTTAAGTATTTCTTATTATTTCAACATTATTCAGCATTATGTCTAAGGAGCCCTGGTCCTGTAAATGGTTAAGCGCTCTGCTGCTAACTGAAAGGTTGATGGTGCGATCCCGCCCAGCGGCTCTGTGGGAGAAACACCTGGTGACCTGCTTCTGTAAAGATTGTTGTTGTTGTTGTTTGCCGTTGAGTCAGTTCCAACTCAGTGACCCTGTACGACAGGGTAGGACTTCCCTATAGGGTTTCCAAGGCTGTCATTTTTATGGTAGCAGACTGCCACATCTTCCCCCCCGTGAAGCGCTAGTGGGTTCAAACCGCCAATCTTTTGGTTAGCAACCAAGTGCTTAACTACTGTGCCAGCGGGGCTCCTCTTCTGTAAAGATTACAGCCTAGAAAACCCTATGGAACAGTTCTATTCTGCACACATGGGTTCACCACGAGTTGGAATTGACTTCAGAGCAACTAACAACAACAACCATTGGCTGGCAACCTCGGGCTCTCTGTGCCCATGTTTCTTCCCTTATACCGTGGGGTGAAATGTGCCCCCGAGTGGGGCTCAGCACCAGCAAGTTATCAGAGGTGAAGTCCTCATAGGCCCTGGCTCACAGTCAGCACGAGGGAGGGCTAGCTGGCATGATGGTGATGTTCTCCTTCCTCAGCCACCACTGCCCAGAGTGGGGAGTCTAGAACCTTCTCTACCGCTTTGGCCTGGCTAGGCTGGGTGACTTAACCCAGAGGCCTCATTTTTTCAACTCTACTTCCAGCCCCATGAACTGTAGTGACAGTCAGGGGCGGAGTGGAAGGTCCACGGTGAGGAGGTGTTTGACCTGGTCTTATGGTGCCACAGGGAGCTTTGGGAAGGAGGGAGCTGCAGTGCAGTGCAGTGAATTGCTTTTATATGGCCTTTCTTGTCATGGTCTTGTGACTCCTACAAAATAACTGGGTGGGACTATGCAAATAAGGTGCTTGCGGCCCACCAAGGGGATTGGACAGCATTGCTAATAATGCAGATAAGGTGCATGGAACCTTGAGGGGGTGAGACCATGCAAATAAGGTGTATGGAACCCTAACTAAGGGGATTGGTTAGTTTTGCTATCCCCTTAGGCTTAAAATGTGCCATCCCAGAGGCAGGAAGGGGGGACCTCACTACCATCAAGAAGAAGAACTGGGAGCAGAGCACATCTTTTGGATCTGGGGTCTCTGTGCTATGAACCTCCTAGACCCTAGAAACGGGGGCAAAGGAACCTGGAGACCAACGCAAGACGGCTGCAACGGGCCTCCCAGCCCACCGAGCAAGGCAGCTACAGTGGGTGTCCCAACCCATGGAGTGAGAGAGCTGAGCCCCTTCAGGCAGGAGGCTTGCTGGCAGAGTGGGGTACCTCTGGGCACTTACTGGCAGAGCTAAAAGAGCTTTGCAACACTTGCCTGAACAGGGCTAAGGCCAGGCCAAGGGCTGAGGGCCAAGAGAGGAGGCCTGCCCTGAGGGGGCCAAGAGGATCCTGTCCTCAGGGGGGTGAGAGGAGCCCGTCCTCAGGTGGGTGAGGGGAGCCCGTCCTCAGGGGGGTGAGGGGAGACCATCCTCAGGGGGATGAGCGGAGACCGTCCTCAGGAGGGTGAGGGGAGCCCGTCCTCAGGGGGGTGAGGGGAGCCCGTCCTCAGGGGGCCGAGGGGAGCCCGTCCTCGGGGGTGAGGGGAGCCCGTCCTCAGGGGGATGAGAGAACTGAGAGAGCTGTCCTGAGCTGAGGAAGGGAGACTGTGCCTACATGCTTCCTGATCTGGATCCCGAGTTGTAAACCTGTTACTTCCCTAACAAACCCCATAACTGTGAGTATGGTCTGTGAGTTTTGTGTGGCCTTTGCAATGAATTATCAAACCCAGCAGAGAAATAGAGTGCTGTGGGAGGAATGGCTGGTGTCAGCATTGGTAAAAAGATGGAGAGTAGAGGCATGTTTGATCTCCGCCTCATAGGAATCAGCCTTGGGCTAATGCTGGTGGTGATTCTGTCCCCCTTGTGGAATCAGATGAGAAGGTCTGACAACGCTCTGCAGCCATTTTTATAGGAGCAGACAGGTGGTGGGTCGGCAGCACTCAGCTGACCTTTCCAGAGTGGGCAACTCGCTGTCTTCAGACAGGCCCCTCCCTTCTGCCTCCCACCTCCTCTGGAAGCTCCCTTCCTCTCTCCCACCCAGGGCTACAGAACACCTTGGGTCTCCTTCTGGGCATCAGCTGTGCTCAGCGCATCCTGGGCATCCTGGCTCGTGTGCCTAGCTGGAGTAGGAGGGAGAGGAAGCCTCTGAGGGCTATGAGGCCCCTGGCCCCGCAGGTCACCCTATCCTACAGCTCCTGCTCCTGGGGGTGTTGAACGGCCTCACAGTGGAGTCCCCTGGGGGGTGCCTCCCCTCACCCTCACAGGGTCTCAGCGCTCCTAACTCGAGTGCACATGATTTAGGCTCTATCGCCCTGGCCAGTGGGCATGCCAGCACAGCACTCACCTTAGGTTTCAGCGCCTTAGAAGTGGCTTTGAGTGAGTGCTCAGGCAGCTCCGAGCCCATGTCCCATGCCCACCACAGTCCCCAGGACCCCCAGATGCCCCCCGCTGCCTTGCCTGTCCCTCCTGGGCCAACCTTGATACCCAGGGCACAATTATTACCATACTTCCTACAGCCTCTCTGACCATCTGCGTGGACTAGGGCCCACAGGCCCACTGCCTGTTTGTGTAAATAAAGTTTTATCGGCACAGCCACACCCATTCATGAGGTATTATCTGTGGCTATGGTTGCACTGTGTGCAGGGTCGAGGGGTCGCAGCAGAGACTGCCTGGAAATCTTGACCCAATGGTCCTTTGCAGAAAAAAAAGTATGTTGGCCCCTGAGCTTGGCCCAGGCCATCTCACTGAGCACAGGGCGAGTCCTTACCCGTCCCCTGTGCCTGCAGCTCAAGGGTTGACATTCAGGAAGTGCACGAACAATGTTGTCATACTTCTTTTTTTCATTGCAGATTTTAGAATCAATATTCTGTCCCTCGATGACTTGGCTCCGGCCATCAGTGAGAGGCCAGACCTGGAACAGGAAGTGAGTGCGATGAAGTCTCAGCTGTAGGTGCTCATGCACTGTCTAGGGCAGCAGCCATTTAAGTCAGTCTCAACCGGGGCGATTCTGCCCCCCCAGACGACATTGGGCAATGTCTGGGGACATTTTTGGTTGTTACAACTGGGGGGAGGTGCTACTGGCATCTGTTGGCTGAAGGCCAGGGAGGCTACTCAATACCCTACAGTGCACAGGACAGCCCCACCGCAGAGAATGATCTGGAACCAGCCATGAATAGTGTCAAGGCTGAGAAACTGCCTTAGCGTGAGAAACCCTGTCTGTCTGTTATCTAGCTTATCTATCCATCTGTCGGAGCCCTGGTGGCACAGTGCTTAAGAGCTCAGGCTGCTAACCAAAAGGTTGGCAGTTCGAATCCACCAGCTGCTCCTTGGAAACACTATGAGGCAGTTCTACTCTATAGGGTCACTATGAGTCGGAATCGACTTGATGGCAATGGGTTTGTTTTGGGTTTTTTATCCATCTATCCATTTACCTATTCACTCTAGTGGTTTTCAGCTGGGGGTGATTTTGCCCCCAGGGACACTTGGTGATGTCTGGAGACACACTTTGTTGTGACCACTAAGCGGGAGTGCTGGCACTGAGTGGGTGGAGGCCAGGGGTGCTGCTCAACACCCTACGGTGCCCCACAACAGAGAGTGATCCAGCCCTGGATGTCAGCAGTGCCGAGGTGGAGAAGCCCTGTCTTAGGTGATGCAGGATTGGCTGATTGATTAGCACGTGGTCACAGCTCACCCCACTTACAGCACTCCTTAGTGCGTGTCCACAGGTGTGCCCACACATGCTCCTTCAAGGGTGCTGTCAGGGTCCTCACATGTTGGTAACCCCCGCGCTGTTGAGCGCATGCTTCCGTAACTTTAACAAGGCTTGTCTATGTGCCACCTAATTGTGCTTGGCACCCTTGTGGTCGCGTGTAGCACGTGCCAGGAGGGTTCTGAGGGTCTGTCCACGAGTGACGCCTGCTTCCCACACCTCAAGGAGGCCCACCTGCATCCCCTGCTGGAACCACCAGGCATCCTGTTCATACGGACGCTGTGGTACTTTGAGCAGCCGCTCATATAGAGCACTTTTGTTACCTCTGCCATTCTCTGTTTCAGGGAGAAGATGCTCGGCGGGAAAAGCCGTCTAGCCCAGGCTCACAGGCAGAAGGGCCCGCCAGGCAGGGGTTGCCAAGACGTGTCCGGGCCTGGAGCATGGCGTCCTTGGACAGCAAGGAGGGCCCCCCCACTGAGAGTGAGGTCTCTGAGTGTCTGAGCACCGGGCAGCGGGGCGCATCCAGCCAGCCACCACTGTCTCGAGACCCCTCAGTGAGCACTGTGAGCTTGGCATCTCTGGATGGCCAGGAGGACCTCCCCACTGTGAGTTCGGCCTACTCAGATGACTTTGAGGCATCACCAGGCCTGACTGTCTCTGAGCCCACAGGCTGCTCAGAGGCGTCTCTTGACAGGACGTCAGAGACCCTGTCGGAGTCTTCTTCGAGTTGGGAAGGGGACCATCCCCTACAAACTCCCAAGGCCAGCCAAAAGCAGGGCCAGGATGTGGTAAGAGTGATTGTGAAGGAGATGGCCGTGCAGACTCCCGATCCTGCCTTCACCTACTGGTGGGCCGAGGGTGAGTAGGGAGCCGGCCTAGGGGCTAGAGGGTGGGGGTGCAGCTGGGAGGTGCTCCATACACCGTCCACAGCCCCCTCTGAGCACTGAGTGGGGCCCAGGTTCTGGAGCTCTGGGCTCTCTTCATTAAGCAGCTTGGGGGGCCTTGGACCCCATTTCCTCATCTGTGGAGGGGCCTCTGCACTGGTTGTTTCTCAGTCTTTCTAGCTCTAAAACATCCAGAGAAGTTTGGGAATCAAAGACTAGGGCAGAGGTGCTCACCCCGGTGTGACTCTGTTCCCAGGGCACATTTGTAGTTATCACAGCTGCGGGGAGAGTGCTCCTGGCATAGAGTGAGTAGAGGCCAGGGATGCTGCTCAACACCTTACAGTGCACAGGATGGCCCCCACCACAGAGAATGTTCTGGAACCAAACGTCAGCAGTCTCGTGGTCAGAGAGACCCAGATGAGGGGAAACGAGCAGTGTTGTATGTCCAATGACCCGCCCAGCTGGGAACTGGTACACACTGGAACCTTCAAGATGTCCCAAGATGGGCTGAACCTGCAGCCCCCTGCCCCCTCCGGCAGCCGCCTGGTGTCCTGGCGTGTGGGGCCTACGCAAGTGGCCCCTCAGGCTTGGTTGACAGTTTGACCCCTCATACCTTCTTGGGGAGTACTTGCTCAGCACTTCAGGCCAGCAGCCCCGTGCTTGCTTCTCTGCGAGGCGGCCACCAGCTCTGATGTTCCCAGTGCTGCTGGTCTGGCTGGCTCCAGCTCTGTGTTAGGACATGGTGGACAAGGGTCTTCTCCCCTCACCCTCATGGGGCCCTTCAAGCATCCTTGGCCCAGCCGCACCCTGGTCATTCCAGATGGAAGGGCCTCTGTTTTCATCATCCTTTTCTCTCTTCTCAGCTGATAGATGTCCGCAGAGCAGACAGGGCGTGCTCACGGACTCTGAAAGGCCTTAGTCTCCTAGAGTGGCTGGAACAAATACCACAGTGGGCAGCTTTAATGAACAGGAATTTATTGTCTCACAGTTAGGAGGCTGGGTTCTGGCTCTAGGGGGAGGCTCTCTTTCTGTCAGCCCTGAGGGAAGATCCTTGTCTCCTTCAGCTTCTGTTCCTCAGTTCCTTGGTGATCTCCACGTGGCATGTCTTCCCCTTTGGGCTCACTTGTCTCTGTGCTGCTCCTTACATCACTCAGAAGTGAGCAGGTTTAGGACCCGCCCTATATTAACATAACAAAGAAAACCTTGTTCCCAAACTGGATCACATCCACAGGTTAGGATTCCGACACATATTTTGGGGGACAAAATTCAGTCCACAACAGAAGGAGACGTCGCGTTCACTTGACTGACCCACTCCTTCCGGTTTGGGGCTTTGATGCCTCATAGCTGTCGGGGTGGTTCCATCCTCGGCAGTTCTGTCCTCAGTTTCCCAGGAGGAAAGCCAATCAGATTTGCTGAGTTAGATCACTGGAAGGGTTACACTGGCATTTTAAACCTGGGCTGTGACTCAGCCCCTTCTGTCTCCCCTCTGCACCATTGCACTGCCTTCCTGATACATCGGTCAGCAACTGTCCACAGTTTTGCAACTTCCTACAACATAAAACTCTCCTGGTGCTCTTTTCCTGGATGAGGCCTGGCAGTGAGGCAAGAGGAAAAGGCTGGGTAAACACTGGCTTGGTTGACTCCAAGGAAGGTCCCTGGGTGGAGCGAACGGTTTGCACTTGACTACTAATCTACAGAGTGATGGTTCAAACCCACCCAGCAGCACCGTGGAAGAAAGTCCTGGCAATCTGCTTCCATTAAGATTACAGCCAAGAAAATCCTATGGAGCAGTTGTACTCTGTAACAAATGGGGCCACCATGTGGACATAACCGCAACGACCCCTTCACCCAGTGAAACTGACTGATCCATCGAGCCAAGGAAGCCTGTGAGGAAGAGGGAGGCCACTTTTGAGAAACACTGAAAGAGGAAGAGAAGAAAGCAAGCAGTGTGGTCGTGTTCAGAGAGAGGAGAGAAGGGACTCAGTCTGTTCCCATGCCATATCCATCGATGAGACACTCCTCTGCCCTGTGTCCTGCTCACTGACTGTCTTAGTCATCTAGTGCTGCTAGAACAGAAATACCACAAGTGGATGGCTTTAACAAAGAGCAGTTGATTCTCTCACAGTCCAGTAGGCTACAAGTCCAAATTCAGGGCTTCGGCTCCAGGGGAATGCTTTCTCCCTCTGTTCCCTGTCGGCTCTGGAGGAAGGTCTGTGTCATCAATCTTCCCTTGGTCTGGGAGCATCTCAGCGCAGGAGTCTCAGGTCCAAAGGATGCACTCTGCTCCCAGTATTGCTTTCTTGGTGGTATGAGCTTCCCATGTCTCTCTGCTCGCTTCTCTCTTTTGTATCTCAAAAGAGATTGGCTTAAGACACTATCTAATCTTGTAGACCTCATCAACATAACTGCTGCTAATCCATCTTATTACATCATAGTGATAGAGTTTACAACACTCAAGAAAATCACATCAGATTACAAAATGGTACACAATCGTACAATACTGGGAATCATGACCCAGCCAAGTTGACAGATATTTTTGGGGGACACGATTCAATCCATGACACTGACCCTTCCCTTTCTGTCCCGGAGTAGCAGCCGGTGTGGCGGCCATTAGTCCTGTTCTGGGAGGCGCCTGTGTGGACCCCACGCCCATCGCCAGCCATGTGGTCAGCGCAGATGCAATAGAAGGTAAGGACCTGCTGGTGGTCCTTCTCCCACCCCCCCAGGTGATGCATGGTACTCACAAATTCATGCCCACTCTTGGGGATACTGCACCCCTTTAGTGCTTAGCTCAGGGAAACCATTGGCAGGGATCACTCCAGCCAAGGAAGTTCCACAGTTCACATGAATCCTAGTGACAGCCTGGCATGTCCCTGAGTCCTGCCTTTCTCTGGTCAAATGACACGACTGGTTGGGTGAGAGGTGCACCTGTAAGCCCAAAAGGCCACTTGCATTTTGTATGGTCCCTTCCGAGTCCTTGTGTCCGTAGTCCATAGCTTCTCCTCTGTCGACACACATGCAACCAATATTGTTCCCCAGCCACGGGCCAGGTGGACACACCCTTGCCTTCTGGGACCCAGCCTGGCCTGAGTTGCAAAGAGGGCATGCAAGAAGCCACCTCAGAGAGTTTGGGCTTTGCCACATTCCCCATGGGGCCTCTGGCGGCGGGTGTGCCACAGGTTAGGGCATGTCTGGTATCTGCTGTCTTTTTCCCTTTCAAGTTTTCTTTTTATTTTATTGTTGTACTTTAGGTGAAAGTTTACAATTCGAATTAGTCTCTCATACAAAAATTTATACATACACTGTTATGTGACCCTAAATGCTCTCCCTATACTGTGACAGCACACTCCTTTCCACCCCAGATTTCCCGTGTCCATTCAACCAGCCCCTGACCCTCTCTGCCTTCTCATCTCACCTCCGGACAGAAGCTGCCCATTTAGTCTCATGTATCTACTTGAGCTAAGAGGCACACTCCTCACGAGTATCATTTTATGTCCCATAGTCCAGTCTAATCTTTGTCTGAAGAGTTGGCCTCGGGAATGGTTTTAGTTCTGAGTTGACAGAGTCCAGGGGCCATGCCTCCTGGGGTTCCTCCAGTCTCAGTCAGACCATTAAGTCTGGTCTTTTTACTAGAATTTGAGTTCTGCACCCCACTTTTC